GATCACCGGGAGTGGGGAGACCAGAGAGGGGAAGGGACCCCCGAGATGGGGGGGATCGGAGCTGAGGACCCCTAGGAGCGGGGAGAGCCGGGAGGGGACTCCTCTGAGCCTGGAGCTGGGGGGAGCTCGGAGTTGCGGAATCTCTGTGATCCCGGGGATCCCCGGTTGAGGGGAGACCGAAATGGGGGGCGACCCCAGGGGCGACCCCCGGGACCCCCGAGATGGGGGAGACCAGAGCTGAGGACCCCCAGGAGTGGGGAGAGCAGAGAGGGGGGACCCCTGGAGGTCAGAGCAGGCGGGAGCTCGGAGTTGGGGGATCCCTGGGACCCCCTGGTCGGGGGCACACCAGAATGGTGGGTGACCCCTGGGACCGCTGAGACTGGGGAGACCGGAGCTGGGGACCCCCAGAAGCAGGGAGAGCAGAGGGGGGGGGAAGGAAACTCAGAGTTGGGGGATCCCTGGGATCACCGGTTGAGGGGAGACTGGAATGGGAAGGGACCCCTGGGACCCCCAAGATGGGGGAGACCAGAGCTGGGGACCCCCAGGAGCGGGGAGAGCAGAGAGTGGGGGACCCCTCAGAGCCTGGAGCTGGGGGGAGCTCGGAGTTAGGGGATCTCTGGGACCCCCTGGTCGGGGGGAGACCAGAATGGGGGGCGACCCTTGGGACCGCCGAGATTTGGGAGACTGGAACTGGGGACCCCCAGGAGCGGGGAGAGCGGAGAGTGGGGGACCCCTCAGAGCCTGGAGCTGGGGGGAGCTCAGAGTTGGGGGATCCCTGGGACCCCCTGGTTGGGGGGAGACCAGAATGGAGGGGACCCCTGGGACCCCCGGGACTCCCGAGATGGGGGAGACCGGAGCTGGGGACCCTCGGAAGGGGGGAGAGCAGTGAGGGGGGACCCCTCAGAGCCTGGAGCTGGGGGGAGCTCGGAGTTGCGGGATGCCTGTGATCCCTGTGATCCCCGGTTGAGGGGAGACCGGAATGGGGGGGACTTCCGGGATCCCCAGGACTCCCGAGATGGGGGAGACCAGAACTGGGGACCCCCAGGAGTGGGGAGAGCGGAGAGCGGAAACCCCTGGAACTCGGAGCTGAGGGGAGCTTGGAGTTGGGGGATCCCTGGGACCCCTGGTCGGGGGGAGGCCAGAATGGGGGGTGACCCCTGGGACCGCCGAGATTGGGGAGACCGGAGCTGGGAACTCCCAGAAGCAGGGAGAGCAGAGGGGGGGGAAACCCCTTGGAGCCTGGAGCAGGGGGGGAACTCAGAGTTGGGGGATCCCTGGGATCCCCGGTTGAGGGGAGACTGGAATGGTGAGGGACCCCTGGGACCCCCAAGATGGGGGAGACCAGAGCTGGGGACCCTCAGGAGGAGGGAGAGCAGTGAGGGGGGACCCCTCGGAGCCTGGAGCTGGGGGGAGCTTGGAGTTGGGGGACCCCCGAAATGGGGGAGACCAGAGTGGGGAGAAGCCCTGGGAGGGGGGTGCCTGGAGTGAGGGGACCCTCGGGACCCTCGAAGCCTGGAGCTGGGGGAAGCTTGGAGTTGGGGAACCCCCAAGATGGGGTAGATTGGAGAGGAGGGGACCCCTGGGACCCCCTGGCCCACCAGGACACCCGGGAGGGAGAAGATGAGAGGGGGGGAATCCCGGGACCCCCGAAGATGGGGACCCCTAAAGTGGGGGAGATCAGAGAGAGGGGGACCCCTGAGACCCTCAGAGGCTGGAGCAGCGGGAGTTCTGAGTTGGGGACCCCCAGAAGCCTTGAGAGGGGCAAGTTCAGAGCCAGGAGACCCCCAGGGCCTGTGGAACCCCGAAGTTGGGAGCCCAAAGCTGGAGAACCCCTGGGAATGGGGTGCCCAGAGGGGGAGAGGGACACCTGAGACCCCCAGGACCCCAGAACAGGCATCACCCCACAGCGAGGGGGCCCCAGGACCATTGCCCCACACCCCCCAGTTGACAAGGAAGGGGACTTCTTTCTTCCCCATGGGAACCCTTTTTGAGGTGTCTGCCTCGGTTTCCCCTTGGGCTGGATCTTGGGGTTCTGGAGGATTTTGGGGCTGGATCTTGGGTTTTTGGGGCTGGATTTTGAGATTTTGGAGGATTTTGGGGCTGAATTTTGGGGTTCTGGAGGGATTTTGGGCTGTATCTTGGGATTTTGGAGGATTTTTGGGCTGGATCTTGGATTTTTGGAGGATTTTGGGGCTGGATTTTGAGATTTTGGAGGATTTGGGGGCTGGATCTTGGGTTTTTGGAAGGTTTTATGGGCCATATCTTGAGGATTTTATGGACCCGAGGTGGTGGTGGAGTCCTCCTCGTTGACTTCTCACTAGGGATGGACTTGGGCAGGAGCAACTCACAACCCAACCCAGGGAATGCGCTCACAAATTGGTTCTTTTCCTCCCCAAAACAGGATTTCCTGGTCCCAATCCTTGGCCAGATCAAGGAGGATTCTGTGAGGAAGAGGAGATGCTACGAGAGACCCAGGCAGCTGCGGAAGGCTTTGCTTGACCTTCTCCTTCCTCTCTTCTCCTCCATCCTCCAGCATCGCTGTAGGATGGCCCCGTGGCTGATGCCAGATCTGGAGACAGATCTGGGAGGATCTCCTTAAATCCCCTTCCTCTCCTCGTTCCTTCCTCTGGCAGGTGATGAGGTGGAGGTGGAGATCATGGAGGAGAAACCCCACCGGCAGATCCTTGTGGAAGAGGCTGTTTTGAAGTGCTCCATGGAGCAAGAGGTCAGCAGGGAGGAAAGGTCAAGAAGATGCTCCATGGAGGTCAATGAAGAAAAGCCAAGAAGATGCTCCATGGAGGTCAATGAAGAAAAGCCAAGATGCTCCATGGAGCAAGAGGTCTACAAGGAAAAGCCAAGAAGTTGCTCCATGGGGCAGGAGGTCAATGAAGAAAAGCCAAGAAGATGCTTCATAAGGGTCAATGGGGAGGAAAAGCCAAGGAGATGCTCCATGGAGGAGGAGGTCAATAGGGAGGGAAAGCCAAGATGCTCCATGGAGCAAGAGGTCAATGAGGGGAAAAAGCCAAGGAGATGCTCCATGGGGAGAGGCTGCAATCAGCCCCCACGAAGGTTCGAGGAGGAAAGGCCGACCATCTGCGGGGAATGTGGCCGCAGCTTCAGCCGCAGCTCCAACCTGGCGGTCCACCAGCGGCTGCACGCGGGCGAGAAGCCCTACAAGTGCTTGGAGTGCGGGAAGAGCTTCAGCCGCAGCTCCCACCTCATCACCCACCAGCGTCTTCACACCGGGGAGAAGCCCTACAAGTGCCCCGATTGCGGGAAGAGCTTCAGCGACAGCTCCACCCTCATCACCCACCAACGTCTCCACACCGGCGAGAAGCCCTACAAGTGCTTGGAGTGCGGGAAGGGCTTCAACCAGAGCTCCAACCTCACATCCCACCAGCGGACCCACACCGGGGAGAGGCCCTACAAGTGCCCTGAGTGTGGGAAGAGCTTCAGCGTCAGCTCCTACCTCATCCGCCACCAGAAGATCCACACTGGAGAGAGGCCCTACAAGTGCGAGGAGTGCGAGAAGAGCTTCAGCCAAAGCTCCAGCCTCATCATCCACCAGCGCGTCCACACAGGGGAGAAGCCCTACAGATGCGTTGAGTGCGGGAAGTGGTTTCGGAACAGCTCGGATCTCATCCGCCATCAACGGACCCACACGGGAGAGAGACCCTACCACTGCCCCGACTGCGGGAAGAGCTTCAACCGCAGCTCCAACCTGGTGACCCACCAGCGCATCCACACCGGGGAGAAGCCCTACGAGTGTCCCGAGTGCGGGAGGAGCTTCACCGTCAGCTCGGCCTTGATCAAACACCAGAGGACCCACCGCGAGGGGAAGCCCTACGAGTGTCCCGACTGCGGGAAGAGCTTTATCCGCTGCTCCAACTTCATCACCCATCGGAGGACGCATGTTGGGTAGAGATCTGGAGACCTGTGCTGGGTACAGATCCGGTGACCCACGTTGGGTAGAGATCTAGTGACCCACGTTGGGTAGACGCCTGCCTGGTGGTCCTCACATCTTTCTCGTTGTCGTGGTTTAGCCGCGGTGCCCCAAAAAGGGGGCTGGACAAAATAAGGACTGGAAGCGCTTCTCACCACTTAAACGCTCATGGGCAAAAGACAGACTCATCATAGGGAGAAAAACAAAACAGTTTAAATTGGTTACCAACAACATCAGAGTATCAATGAGAGATACAACCAGATCTTAAAAGTCAAACAGCTTTTCTTCACCTCCCTCCTTTGCCCAGGGAAAATGGGAATGGGGGCTGTAGTCTGTTCATCCCATGCCGCTCCTTCCTCTTCTGGGCCAGGTAGGGGACGACTCCTCCCAATCTCCCTCTGCTTCCACGTGGTGCGCTTCCCACAGGAGAAGAAGTCCTCAAAAGTCCAATACGGGTCTGTCCACAGCTGCAGTTTCCCTCACACACAAAAACCACTTCTGCTGAAGTCCACAGAGCTCCAGTCTGTGTCTGCCCATGGTCACAGTTCCCTCACATATGAACTGCTCCAGCACCCACTGCCCAGAGTCACGGCTTCTTCAGGGCAGCCACTGCTCATGTGTAGGCAGGTCAGTGTGGCACACAGGTTGCAAAAGGGGAATCTGGGCTCTATGTCCTCCTCCCCCTCTCCTTTCTTCCTTCAACCAACCTTGGGGTATTTTAAAGCTGTTCTCCTCAGGCCCCACTCCTTTCTCCGCTGCAGGTCCCTTCTGGTGGTTCATGGAGAGTTCACAGCTCTCTCTTTCAGGCTGAAGCTGCAGCAGGGCTTGAGCTTAAGTTGGGTCGGGCCGACCTGGGGCCACACTGATTGGGGCCAGTGCAAGAGATACCAAGAGCGTGTCCCACACCCCCCCTTAAATACATGAATTGGCAGTGGTGTTGATTGGCTTGGCCCTGATCAGAGATGGGTCCAGTATTTTAGAGCTAGGGGAGCTTTTCAGGTAGCTTCTTACAGGGCTATGTCCACAGCTCTTCCTCTGTTACCAAAAACAAACCCAAAAACCCCTCACAGAAAACCCAATACTTCATAGAAGATGCAGAAATTCATTGGGAGGAGTGGACTCGTTGGCTTTGGACGCCAAAAAGTCCCATCTGCTTCATCCAATCGTTTCTTCTGGTGGCATTGAGCAATACCAGAAGGACCACTCGGTTGGTGAGTGGAGGGTAAGGAGGACGTGGGTTGGTGGTGACCACATTTTGTAAGGGTGCTGCACCCTTGATGATGTAAACAGCGGCACCAAAGACACCTTATCCATGGGTTGGGTTTAACCTTTATCCCTGAGTTGCATTGAGCCTTCATCCATGGGTTGGAGTCAACCTTCATCCATGGGTTGTGTTGAACCTTCTTCCATGGGTTGGGTTGAACCTTCATCCATGGGTTGTGTTACAGAATCACAGAATCGCTCGGTTGGAAAAGACCTCCGAGATCATCACGTCCAACCACTCCTGTCTACCTCCTAAACCATATCCTTAAGTACCTCGTCTACCCGCTCTTTAAACACACCCAGGGATGGTGACTCCACCACCTCCCTGGGCAGCCTGTGCCAGCTTCTGACGACCCTCTCAGGAAAGAACTTCCTCCTTATCTCTAACCTGAACCTCCCTTGGCACAGCTTGGTGCCGTTTCCCCTTGTTCTATCCCCCATCACCTGGGAGAAGAGACCAGCACCCACCTCTCTCCAAGCTCCCTTGAGGCAGTTGTAGGTGGTGATGAGGTCTCCCCTCAGCCTTCTCTTCTCCAGGCTAAACAAGCCCAGTTCCCTCAGCCACTCCTCATAAGGCTTGTAGATGTTGAGCCTTCATCCTCGGGTTGTGTTGAACCTTCATTCTTGGGTTGTGTTGAGCCTTCATCCTTGGGTTGTTTTGAACCTTCATCCATGGGTTGTGTTGAACCTTCATCCATGGGTTGTGTTGAGCCTTCATCCATGGGTTGGAGTCAATCTTCAGCCATGGGTTGGGTTGAACCTTCGTCCATGAGTTGGGTTGAACCTTCATCCTTGGGTTGTGTTGACCCTTCATCCATGGGTTGTGTTGAACCTTCATCCATGAGTTGGGTTGACCCTTCATCCTTGGGTTGTGTTGAACCTTCATCCTTGGGTTGGGTTGAACCTTCATCCTTGAGTTGGGTTGACCCTTCATCCTTGAGTTGGGTTGACCCTTCATCCTCGGGTTGTGTTGAATCTTCATCCTTGTGTTGGGTTGAGCCTTCATCCTCGGGTTGAGGTGAACCCAAGACGCTTCCTGGGTGCAGAAGACACTCCCAAATGCCCAAAATTGGGGAATTTTTTCCATTTTTCCCCTCCAAAAAAGGCTCTTCCACCCACGCGGCCCCATCTTCGTCACCACCATGGAGACATTCAACACATGAATGTTTCTATTTTGGCTGTGATTTTCTTCTGACTCAGCCCCATCCCTTCAGAAAAGCCTAAATTGGATTAAAAAATAAAGATATGGACGAAAAAAACCCTCCTATTTTACTGTGATTTATCTTTCTTTTCTGGTGAAGTTCATGGGTCTTCCCTCATCTCCTCAGGTCCTGAGGGTCCCACAGGAATCATAGGGGGTCTTCCCTCCCAAATTTTGGACCCCAAATTAAGAAGAGATCGGGTTTTTTGGGGGGGCAAGCCCCCCTACTTCAGAACCCACCCTAAGGAGGGATAAATGGAGGGTATTTTGTGGAGTGGGTCCCAAGCTCCCAGCACCCAAAGTTTTCTCCATCCTTTTTGAACCCCAAAACCAAATCAAAGCGATTTGGCTTGGGTTTTTTTCAGTAAATTGTGGTGCTCAGCCCCAGAAAATTCCTAATAAACCTCAGAACTGGGTTTTGGGACAGCCAATAGTTAATAAAAATCAAATAAATACTGAAAAAAGGTGAAATAAGCAAAAGGGAGAAAAGCCCTAAATTTGGGTAAATTCCTTAGGTTTTGGAAAAATATTCAAATCTGGGTGAATCCCTTAGTTTTTTGGGGGGAACCCCAACATTTGGGTGAATTGGGCACCTCTCAAAGTTTGGTGAATTCCTTAGGTTCTGGGGAGAAACCCCTAAATTTGGGTGAATCTCTTGGGTTTTTAGGGAATTCTCAATTTGGGTGAATTCCTTACATTTTGGGGACACACCAAATTTGGGTGAATCCCTTATTTTTTCAGGAAACCTCAAAATTTGGTTGAATTTTGGACCTCTCAGAATTGGGTGAATTCCTTAGGTTTTGGTGAAATGCCCAAGTTTGTGTGAATTCTTTAGGTTTTGGGGGAAACACCCAATTTGGGTGAATTCCTTAGGAATTCTGGGGGGACCTCAAATTTGAGTGAATTCCTTAGGAATTTTTGCGGACTCCCTTAAATTTTGTTGAATTCCTTAGGAATTTTTGGGGGACCCCCTTAAATTTGGTTGAATTCCTTTGGATTTTTTGGGGACCCCCTTAAATTTGGGTTGAATTCCTTTGGATTTTTTGGGGAGATCCCAAATTTGGGTTGAATCCCTTCAGATTTTTTGGTGACCTCCTTAAATTTGGGGTGAGTTCCTCAAGATTTTGGGTCTCTCAGTGGGTTTTTTTGGGGGGTTAGAGGAGACCTTTGGAGGTCATCTACTCCATGAGTAGGGACATCTCCAACCAGATCTGGTTCCTCAAACCCACCATCAAAGTGGTTGCTGAAGATACTGGTCCCAGTATGGCCCGGTGAGGGCCACCACTCCTCACTGGTTGACCACACGCCTCTGGTTGCCACCATCCACCCAATCCCTGCTCCATCCATCGGCTCCATCCAATTGGGAGAGGTGACCGTTGTGGACCACGTCAGAGGTCTTCCCGAAGCCCAATGAGATGAGGTTGACCACATTGGGTGGTCTACAATTAATTCTGGGGCCCTTAAAATTAACTTTATGGGGCCTTACTAATTTTGAGGGCTTAAAATTAACTTTGGAGGTCTTACAAATCATTTTGGGGGGCTTGAAGTTAACTTTGGGGGTCTTACAATTAATTTTGAGGGGCTTAAAATTAACTCTGGGGGTCTTACAATTAATTTTGGGAGAGTTACAATTAATTATGGGGGTCTTGTGATTAATTTTGGGTGTGTTAAAATAAAATTTGGGGGTCTTACAATTAATTTGGGGGGCATTAAATTTAATTTTGGTGTCTTACAATTCATTTTAGGGTGGTTAAAATTAACTTTATGGGTCTTACAATTAACTTTGAGGTGGATAAAATTAATTTTGGGGGCGTTAAATTTAACTTTATGAATCTTACAATTAATTTTGGGGGCCTTACAAATAATCATGAGGGTCTTACAATTGATTTTGAAGGCATTAAAATTAATTTTGGTGTCTTAGAAATAATCTTGGGGTGGTTAAAATTAACTTTGAGGGCCTTACAATTAATTTTGGGGTGGTTAAAATTAATTTTGGTGTCTTACAATTAATTTTGGGGTGGATAAAATTAACTTTGAAGGCCTTACATTTAATTCTGGGGTGGTTAAAATTAATTTTGGTGTCTTACAATTAATCGTGGGGTAGTGAAAATGAACTTTGGAGGCCTTACAATTAATTGTGGTGCACTTAAAGTTCATTTCCAGGAGGGGAGGCACTGCTGGGAGGTGGGAGTTGCGCACACCTGGAGAGTTGCATTTCTTCTTGCCCTGCCCCCAGAGCCGCTCGCTCCCCAAGAGGCTTCCAAATCCCCAAATTCAAATCCCCTGGATTTGAGGAATGGGACAAAAAGCCCCCAGCGACCACCACAGGCACTCACAAACCTTTATTGAACCCCAGCCTTGACTGGACACTCTCCGTGCAAGGGGAGGAAGAGCCCAAACGTGTTTCACAGCACCAAAAACGTACCCAAATCCTCCAAAAATGGTGATTTTGCTACCAGACACCGTCGCGGGGCAGCCCCTGGCCCTCATTCCCCCTCTGGGGAGGGCAGGGTGGGACATGGGTTCCTACTGCGTGGAGGAGAGGAGAGTGGGGAGCATGGGAAGAAGGGCAGGGGGTCCCTGGGCCTGAAGGGGGGCAGAGGGGCTGGAGGGTGCTGTCCCTGAGGCGCAGTTGGGTTTTCGTGGTATCTAACATAAACCAAGGGTGGATGCTCTCCCCGTTGAACACTGCTTGGGGGAAGGTGAAGATCTCGGCCCCACTGTCGGCGTTGAGGAAGGTCACCAGGCCCTGGGTGCAGTCCAGGCAGACCCAGAGCCTCCTAGCGACCAGGGAGGAGGACAGGGGGGTGCAAGGATAGGTGAGAGCCACAAATTGGTATTTCCAGTGCTCCGCTCCCCAGATCCCACTTTCAGGACTCAGCTTCACACACTCCGTCCTGTTCACAGACGCCCTGGCCACCCCCACAGCCCACCACGCGTCACCCTCAACCTCCCCATCCACCTCCACCTCCCAGCAGTGCCTCCCCTCCTTGAACCCCTCCCGGCCTAGAACACAGCACCAAAAAGTAAATCTCTCTGTGGTTTTGGGCTGGTCCTGTCGTGCACTTTTCCATGTGACTCCTCTCAAATTCTCTGAGATGAGGAGCTGGGGATGAGCTGTGTTTGGATCCAGGGTCACCACATCTGCAGGGGACAGGAGGAACCAGAGCATCAAGGGCAGAGCTCAGCACTGGGCTTCTCCATCACCCAAAGGCCTCATGGCCATGGCCAAGCTCAGTCTCAATGGGTGGGTTTGGGTCCCGCATGGAGGGTGAGGATGCGCTGGTTCCTGTGGGCACCAGGGATGGAACTCAAGAAGCCAAGACAATGGGGAGAAAACCAGGCCAGTGCCATGGTCAGGAGGGTTTGAAACACCAAACACACCCAGACAAGGCCAGGCCCTTGCACTGGGCAGCCCAGTTACACCTCACACATGAGAAAAGGGAGGGGAAACTCTCAACATAAGAATAAAATACACAGTTACCTGGGCTTTCAGGGAGCAGAAAACTTCTCCATGCTGGAAGGAGAGACAAGAGCAGGTCAGACCCCACAGCTGCCTCCCTAAGGTCCCAACGATCCCAGGCTAATCCTGAGGGGATTCCCTGGACCTGGGAGATGCAGGGATGGAGAGGATGGGCAGGGAGCACCCAGGAGGGAACCTTCAGCGTGATGGAGCTCATGGAGACTCACCCAGTGCCGCATTTCGTGCATCTGGAAAGCAGAAACAGAGGCAACGTGAGATCAGAGGGGGCTTCTCAGCCAATGACTGCTCCCGCATAAAGGGGCAGAGCTGGGACAGACCCCAGGCTCCTTCATTTTGAGGAGTGGGAACAGAACCCAAACCCCAGGGAGGGCTCCTTGCCAGCACTGGGCTGGTGTACCCAAGGTCCCTGGGAACATCCCCATGGGATATCTTTGGACTCAGGGGATGGAGAGGACGAGCAGAGAGGAGAACCTTCACCATGATGGAGGCTATGGACACTCACCCAGCTCCGCAGCTCGTTTATCTGGAAAATAAAACCCAAGAGCTATGAAGCAAACCCCCAACTTCAGGACTCCCCAGACTCACATCCCTTCCCAAGGGCTCCTTTAAAAGAGGTTTTTGCAGTGAAGGGCCCAGAAGGACTCACCCAGCGCCTTGGCCTGCACCTCTGCAAAGCAAAGGCAGAGGAAGAGGAGGTCAGGAGCACAGAGGGGTCCATCATGGCCCATGTCCCCAGAGGAGCTCCATGGCCCCGCTGGGGCCTTCTCCCCTTCCTCCTTTGCCCAAGGAGCTTCTCCAGGAAGGGAAAGCCCTGCCCTGGCACAGACTCACCCCTGGTTCTGAGGAGATAAACGCTGATGGTGGTCAATGCGACAGCAAGGACGAGGACCACGGCCAGAGCCACCATCCAGGGATGGGCGTTGTGGAAAAAGGGAGCTGAGACACAAGAAAACATCAGCACAAGGGCTCGGTTCACATTTCTGTGTGTGAGGAGAAGGAGTAAAGCAGAAAAAACCCCAAACAGAGCCACAGTCACACCTGAGATGTGCAGCGACGACTCCTGGCTGAGGCGGCTGTTCCTGACCACACAGACCCAGCTCCCAGCTTCGTTCCCAGTCACGATGGTGACGTCCTCCACCTCAAACAGGCCTCTCTCATCAGGAGAAAGTCCCGGGGAGTGTGAGGGGTGCTGCTGCCCATGGGGGTCTCTCCACAGCAGCTCCGGCTGCGGGTACCACCCGGCCGAGCGACACCGCACCCGGATGCCCCCGTCCGCGTAGGCCTCCAGGGAGAGCTGAGGGTCAGAGCCCATGGCTGGGAAAGAGCCCGGGTTGGGTTGAGGTAGGGATGGGCACAGCACAATGGGAAAGCCCAATGGAGACCCCACAGGTCCTGGGAGGCTGTGGAACCCCACACCAAACCCACCCCGACTTGTGCCGGAACTGGAGGCCATCGATGCCAAATGAGCCCCAGATGTCCCAAAAATCCTGGCAGAGGAAGACAGAGCTGCCGAGATTCAACACCTCAAGGCAGCGTCTCTGCATTGCCACATTCATGTTCAAGAAGCCCTGAAGCTTCCAGACAAGGTGCCAGGTCTCCAAGACATGGTACATGGGGACGTGGTTTAGTGGCCATGGTGGCGTTGGACTTGGTGACACAGCCATTGGTCCCGTCCTTGGCACCTTTGGCAGCCCAGGCTGTGATTCAAAGGATCTGCTCACCCAATAGTCCCCAGCGCCTTCACAGCATCATGGGGACAACCCTTCACATGGGGACAACCCTTCACATGGGGACAACCCTTCACAGCCACCGGCAGAGCCACCACATCCGTGCAGCTCTGGCCTCAAAAACACCTCCAGCACCACGTGATGGGAAGAGCCCCCTTGGACCTGACCCCTTTCGATGGTCACCATCCTTTGGCAGTCACCCGTGGACATGAGGATGGGACGTCTGGGAAGGACACACAAACCCTGGGACACCCGGACCATCCCCAGCAAACACCAAAGCAGCCACAAACCTGACACCTGCAGGTCCACCACAGCTTCTCCATAGGAGTCTCCATCTCGCACGGTGCAGACGTATTGGCCATCATCAGAGGGTCTCAACCCAAAGATTCGCAAGTCCAGGCTTCCACTGGAGAGCCCATCTCAGTCCAACTCCGTTCTCCCACGATATTCACTCATCTGCACGTCGTACTGGTCATCTCCATGTAGGAAGAGGTGCACCACTTCAGTGGACGTGTACCGGATCCAGCGGATCTCCAAGCCCCGGGCATCCACGTGGGGGGACAAGTGACACGGCAGCACCACGTCCTGTCCCACGGTGCCATGGAGAGAGCGGCGTGATCCAATCACAGTGAGCCCAGCTTGGAGAAGGACACAAGGACACAGAGATGGTGTCAACGTTAATTTATGGTATTTCAAGGCATGGGGTGGGCTTGGGGTGAGCGGTACCTGCTCCATCCCATGTGGTCAAAAGAAAATGGGGAAAGTGGAAGGGGAGTGGGAGGACTCGGAGGAGTTTTCCTGGGGTCTGCCCCTCAAGAGGACCCCCCATTGCAGCAACTGGGGAAAGCGACTGTTACCGAAATATCAAATCAAAAACTTTTTAAAACCAATTTGTAGGAATTAGAAGGCGCTGGGAGCAAACACAAATCATTGCATAAAGGAAATGCTCAAAATATGAACTGTTGGCAGGAGCTTCTCTGTGCCTTACACGCACATATTCATGAGATAAAACCTTACAGATGTACTACATTTCCAGTAAAAACTTTACTTATGCATTCCATTTGCAGGAACTAATTAAAATGTCTACAAACTAATTGTGCATGCTCAATTAGCAGGAGGAATGGTCTTCCTGTGGTCTGAGGAACAGTCACCAAGCTGTGTCTTTCATGGAATCAACATAAACTCCAATCCTGTTATCCTGATGCAGCTTCTTCCCAGCCAGAGTTGGTCAGTCTACAGGATAAGAATATTTCTTGTACTATCCAGTCTGTCAGGTCACACCACAAACGCTTTAGGGGGCACTGCAGGACGGGACGGAAGACGGAGCCAATGCAATGGGGGTTGACATGAAGAGCTAAAGGGAAAGTGAAACCCATCCACAACCGAGCTCCTCCTTCCCCATGGCAGCTCCTCCAGACCCACGGCAGCTCCCCCTGTCCCACAGCAGCTTCTCCTGCCCCACGGCAGCTCCCCCTGTCCCACAGCAGCTCCCCCTGTCCCACATCTGCCCCCCACAGCGGGTGAAAGCCCCCATCAGCACCACCAGATCCCTACCTGATCCCAACTGGAGGAGCTGCAGCGTCACCAAATAACTCAGGAGGTTCCTGGGGTGGATGGGGGGCGCCCCCATCTGCAGAGGAGACCCCCTTCAGTCTAGGATTGACTCTGGATCCTTTACAAGACTTTGAATTCAATTAAATGTCCCAAATCCACTGCGGGAAGTCGCTGTGGAGGCACCAGACTGAAGGCATCCAACGTCTCCAACCTTTGGCCAGGTTGAAGGTGCAGAATTGGTCCATAGGGAGAGGTTTGAGGCTGCTCCCCACGTGCCATGACCGAAGAAGGAGAAATCAGGAAGGAGGAAGGAAGAAAGAGGCGTATTTGGGGTTCAACAGGTTATCAGTTATACAGCCTGTAGGGTACCTGTCGCTTTTCAATTGATCACTGGCAATCCAAACCAATCTGTAAATAAATGTTGCTCTAAATAAACAATTACGTCTGTCGCATATTCCCCATTTTCGCAACATTCATTAATTGGATAAATTACCACAGGACCATAATTGTTCGCCGTCCACTGCGGGGATGGACTGGGCACAAAAATTCTGGACAGATGAGGGGAAGGGAGTAGAGCAGATTAAACAAAGTAAGAGCCAGAGGAGGCTCAAAACCGGCAAAGGAGAAGGGGTTGTTTGAACGGTTTTAGGAGCTCATTTGTCAAGCGCGCAGAAGGAAATTAAAAGGTTCCCGGCGCCTGGAAGTGATGCGGGTGTGGAGTACGCGGCTCTGAAATGAGAGTCTGAGCTACTTAAGTCCTCGGCGTTTGGAAAGGAGACTCGTGGCCAAGCGGAGTGTGGGGGCAGCGAGCTTTCAACTGCAAACAGGCGATTAGAGAGACGATGGGAGGAGCGTGTCAGGGATTTGGTGACTGAAAAGCGGCTCTTAGAGGAGCGATCAGAGGTGCGTGTCAGAGAATGGGAGAAACAATTTGGAGGTCGGCGAGAATTCGCTGTGAGTGAAAATGAGCTGTCAGAGAGACTGCTGCTTGGGAGAGGAAGTTGCCAGAGATGTTGGATAAGTTGCTTGACCGAATGAGAAACGAGCGGTGTCCCGACTCTGCCCAGCATGAACGGACAATGGCGCGCCCCGAAAGTCCCGAGCCATGGGGGGAGGACAGTTGGTGTGACGGCAGTGACCCTCCAGAGATCAAGTTCAACTGTAGCAAGGTACTATAATTGAAAGCTCTGTTAGAAGACCAGTTTTCTCCATCATAGAATCACAGAATCACAGAATTGCTC